CCTGGGGAAACTAGCCACACCCTGTCAGCATTAAATCACATTCCTTAGGTCTCTTCACTTGGGCCAAACCCTTTAGCTAACCTGATGATAACAAGTGATTCCAAACTGTAAAACTTTATATGCATTTCCTATTATACAGCCTTGTGTCTTTTTAAGGGAATGTATGAATTTATGGACAATATTTCCTTTTAAAGGGCCAAGAGTATTGGACTTTAAAAAAAAATTCTAAATATTTATCATTAGTGATTGTAAATCTAGATTTCATTTGATTTATGTCTATTTACCTCAGTCTACTGTTCAGAAGGGGATAATAGTGGAACCCACTTCCCAGGGATGTTGTGAGGCTCACATGATTGTACAACAACTGGCATATGCTAGACACAACATTATTATTACTTCTCTAATTTAATGTAATTATTCCATACCTGGTAACTTTGAAGTAGTTTTAAAATACCAAAAGTAATAAAATCAATAATTTCTATATGTGATAATCTGAAAATACAACTGATGTCATCTGAAGTTTATTGTTTATGTTATTACTGTATTTCTAAATCGTATTGCATTCCTAAAATTCTCTTAGATTTTAAAATTTGAAAGACCATGGTGAAGTAGAAATGGTGTTAAAGCAATTTTAATCTGTATTCTGTTGCATATGAATTGGGCCTTTTTTTAAAAGGATGTGACAAATTTTTTGGAAACAACATTTAATGAAGTATATTTGGTTATAAACAAGTAATAATAATAACGATATTTACTAAGATAGCAGATTTTTCATTTGAAATCTTGGGAAAATATATAAGGTAGTTTCAACTTGTAGTTTCAACATATTAATGATGAGATGAATGACTCTGTGCAAAGTGATTTAGAAATGCATTTACCTAAATTGATAATGGGTTGTTTCAAGTTTTGAATACATTATAATGTATAGGGTATTGTTACATTTCTAAATTGTACAATTTGGTAAACAATTGTATCACCTATGTTGTTAGAAAAGCAATTTCTCTTATAATCTGGATGCTGTTAGATTAATAATTGTACTCTTAGAGGAAATGAAAAAAATGAATGGCTTAGGAAGCTGTTAGGTCATTCTATCCAAGCATGTGTTGTAATATTTTGAAGCACTGCAATTTAAGAAATCATAAACTTCCAAGTTTTGTCTATATTTAAAAGGAAGTTGCAGCTAAAATTATTTGGTTCTCACTTACAAAAAATTAAGATTGTTAACTAAGTCATTTGGAGTTATTGTTTAAATCAAGTATTTACAAAAGCATTTTTGTGAAAGGAAACTTGATAATTACAAAGAAGGGATCCTGTAAAATCTCCTTGTAATTAATTTAGTTCGTTACAGTAATAGGATAAATTGCAAGCTGCTTTTAAGAAAGGGAAATACTTTTATGACGAAATGTTTTGCAAAATCTTTTGTGTGATTTTTAGAAGGCCTACTGAATTTCCATTTGCAAGCTAATTTATTGCCGTAATAATTTGATATTGATGACAATTATGTCCAAAACTACTGTGAATTTCGAGTTTCATTCCTAGGTTTGTTGTGTCCTTGGACTGGCCTTAATGGGTGCTTTCTGAGAAACACAGAGTCAGCAGCAGCAACAGAGTTCTAAGGCTGATGATTAATACTAAAGCAATTGCTGTACTGAGTTGTAAGTGGGAAGATCTTGCTGTTTTGATCTGAATTCATTCCATGGCCCAGCAAAGGTTAAAATTAGTGTTTGGACTTTTCACATGTACAAGATTCAATTCCTGAAGTATTTCATTCTTTAGATTAAATATGGTTGCAGAAGGATAAATAAGCTTGAGAAACAGAGATGCAAATCTATTAGAGTAGTAACTTGCGATCTTAATGGAAATTTGATTTTACTCCTGATGTTATTTAATCAGGAACTAGAACATGTGTAGGCTCACTTTAAAGATGTTCCCTAACCAATGTGAGATTATAGTCACGTCTGACACTCTGATTACTGGAACTTGCTATTCAAGACATTATGGAACTGATAACTGACTTTATTCTGAGTCTGACTCAAGGTATGGTTATCAAGGAATGCTATGGAGCTACCGATCCATGATGCCAGCCACCCTGTTGGGGTCTATGAAATGCATCTATGAATTGCAGAGGGTATTCTCATGGGAAAGTCGGGAAAACGACTATTCTGTAGGAGCTGAGGTAGGATTCTCCTGACTCAGTTTCCCCACTATGACACCTGGCAGACTTTAAGCCTGGCATTTGGCCATCTACATAACTTCTGCCTGGAATTGACACTGGTCCCTTACTATAGTTATGTCCATATTCTTTTATGGCAAATTTCTATAATCAAAAAGTTTTGTAAGCACAATATTAAATCTATTAAATAATAGATTGATGCTGGAACATCTGAGGTTATAATAGTAAAATGGAAGTATAAGATTGAACTATTTGGCCTAGAATTTTAGAATTAAATATTTAGCCTTGATATCTGTTACTAGTATATATTCCTGTATAAGTTAGGGTCCTTTAATTCTTCATAATGGTATGGGGATAATTAGGTCGAGGACTTATGAAACCAGGATATTATTCTGTTATTTAGTTAATATCATACCTGTTTCAGTTTGTTACAATTAATTAGTGTTAAAAGAAGAATGACTTGTGGTCTATCTTGTAAACGACTTAAAAGAAGCATCTACTTTAATTAGGTGTTATTTATTTGTGCATGACCAGAAGTTGGAATTATTTTATTACTTGACATGTACTGTTTTAAAATTGATCACTCAATGTATTATGTGTGTATTGAAGTCCATATTTTTATAAAAAGTGTTCTGTTATTAATTCCTTAGTGGAATCTCATCCTCCTGATAAGGGAATGAATGTGAAGTATGGAATGAATGTGAAGTATAAAAACTGGGTTTTGATTTTCAATAACTGGGTTCTAATTTTCCTGTTTTTGAGTTTATCAACATGACAATTGGCCAAGGTTCCAATTTTGATTTTATAAACAGAGACAGAAGGGTCAAGTTAACTGTCATTATTTGACCTGGTTATTGGCAAGGTAATTTAAAATTGTGTTAAGATCAATCTTGTAGGAGAGTGGACACAAGAAAGAGGACACTGCTAGAGACTGTTTGAACAGTACTCAGAACAGAAATCTCCATCAGATAATGTCCCCCCCCAGACATCTGGAGGCACACACCCAATTTCATTTGTCTCTTTCTTATATAATAAATTGGGATTCACATGGTAGAATATTTGCTGTTTTAGACCTGTTGATTTTTCTGAGTGAGAACATCCAGATAAAGATCTCCAGAATCCTGGAGGGAAAATGGAAGTTGACACAGATTTGAGGGTTTTCTGAATAGAGGGGATAAAATGAAGTCACTGGAGCAGAGAAGATCACCAAGGAAAGAGCATGGATAAAAAGAATGTTCAGATAGAACACTGGGGAAACACCATGTTTAAAGGGTAAGAGGAGGATGAAAAGGCCACTGAAAAACAAAACTTAAAACATACTGATTAACTGGAGAGCCAAAAACAGCATAGCATTTCTGGGATAACATAAGCTGAGATATTAAGAAGAGTCTAGGGAGAATTATATTCTGAGTAAACCACACCAAATTTCTTTTGTAAGGGCAGATGGCCCGATTCTTCCAGACTACATAGGTAACTTTTAGAAAAGGGTTTCCTCCTTTTCCAAATTTGATTAACATAGCCATTGGAGAAGCACCTTCACACCAGTGAGGATGAGAATGTGGACATTGGTTATCTCAAGTTTAGGAAGTAACAAAAGTCTCATTAAATGTTTCTTTAGACTGTATCTTACTTCACTTAATGATCTCAGCTCCCAGGGATTTAATTACCATCTCTATGCTCATGATTCTCAAATCTATCCTTTCTGCTCACCTCCAATTTCCAATTTCCAGCTGTGTTTCAGACATCTCAAACTGGATGTCCCGTTGCATCTTAAACTCAATACATGGAAAAGAGAATGTATCATTTTGACTTCTGAGTATTTGACTTCTAAATACTAAAGTTAAGAAAATCCACTATCCTTGCCTTAAGAATCACATATTTATGTCAGAAGACAAATTTATTTTTACACCAATAAATGGGTTCTGAATAAATTTTTTTTAAAAATCACATATTTAGGGGCAATTAGGTGGCGCAGCAGAAACAGCACCGGCCCTGGAGTCAGGAGGACCTGAGTTCAAATCCGAACTCACACACATAACACTTACTAGCTGTGTGACTGTGGGCAAGTCACTTAACCCCATTGCCTAGCCAAAAAAAAAAAAAAAAGAATCATATATTTCAGTATCTTTGCTATTTCCCTTAAGAGCTGATTTCATAGATTTTAGAATGGAAGGATCCTTAGACACTTAGTCTGACCTCATTTCATGGATAAGGAAACAGTCCTCGAGAGCCAGGATATGAAACAAGTCATCTTCCCACTTCTCCATGAGAAAGGAATCAAGAATTTCAGAGATGGGAGGGATCTCAGGCCACCTACCTAGTCCAACCCTCTCCAGCATACCTCTCAGCCCATCAGAGAGTCCAGGTTTCCAACCTAGAACCAGGTGAGGAGGTGGATCCCATTGTGAGCCCCTCTGGTTGTACACCTGCCCACTCGGGCAGCCCCTTTTCTCTCCTGGTCCTCCTTCACTTCCTAGGTCACCATATGCCGGGAGGCTTCTCTTCATAACAGTCAAGGGAATCATAGATTTAACGCTGGGAAAGACCTTGGATGCCACCAAGTCCAACCCCCTCATTTTACAGAGGTGGAAACTGAGGCACAGAGCGGTCACACACCTAGGAAGCGTAGGATGCGGGATCTGCACCCAGTCTACCACAGAAGCAACAATACAGCTTCAGGAGTGACATTCTAGATGGGGCGGCTTCGTTCCCTTCCCAATGTGTCCCACTCACACAGTCCGGTCCCTTTAAAAGACGTCGGTTCTCTGGGCCCGGTTCCATAACCCCGCCCCCTCACCACACCTGGCCCCCGCGGGCTCTTAGGCGCATGAGCAGAACGCGGCGCGGAGGAGGCGGAACCTTTCGTAGTGGGGGCGGTGCCCTGCTGCCTGCGCAGGCGCACGGAGAGCCGGCCGCCAAAATGAAGGTGCTTATAGGTGAGTGGCGCCGCGGAGGGGGCATGAGTCTGGAGAGAAGCGTTAGGTGGAAGTTAGAGAAATTGCAAACTTTGACCCGCCGCTGTCCCAGCCTGTGCTCTGGCAACCTGACCTCGGCCGGAGGCTGACCTTCCCCTGCCCCAGGACTCTGATCACTTCGACAGTTTCAAGGGCAGCGATGGGGGGAGGGGCCCTGGCGAAGGACGGGGAAGGGGGAGGAGCTCCTGGGGGAGAGGAGATGGGGGGTGACGAGGGGAGGGGCCTTGTGGAAGAGGAGGGGGACGGACTCTGGGAAGGCAAGGAGGGGGAGGACCCCCGGGGAAGAAGGGAGGCGGGAGGGGGAGGGGAGGCCCTGGGCACAGAGGGGCACCGTGCCCTAGGCGAGGGCCAGGCTGCTTTCTGCCAGGCGGTGGGACAGGCTTCATCGGCAGGGCCCTGACTCAGCTGCTGCGCTCCCGAGGACACGAGGTGACGGTGGTCTCCCGCCAGCCCGGTGCCAATCATATCACTTGGGTACGTGATGGAAAAGAATTTCTCGGGGCCCTACCAGAACCGCCTCCCCTCTCTGGACTTGACAGTACACTATCATCCTGGTCATTCATTGTTTTTCAATAAAAAATTCAGCTGTTAAAAGGAACTTTAAAATAAATTGAATTTTTAAAACCGAACTTAAGCATTGCCTTGGTAAAGATAGTACATAAAGAGACCAAGTTTAAAGAAATATTCCAAGGTACAATTCTGTATTTTTCTTACTGAAGGTACCCCTCAAGTAACAAGAAGAAGAATCCTTCCTTTAAAGGATGTTGTGTCCCAGAAGACAAAACTGGGTAGAAAAAAAAACTTTGGGGAGAAAAACCAGCCCTGTTGGAACATCTTTTGCTTTCTTTCCACAGAATGAGCTTACCCACTCTGGGTTGCCCCCCTGTGAAGCTGTGGTCAACTTGGCTGGGGAGAACATCTTCAACCCCTTCAGAAGGTCACTCTAAGAGCTTGGGAAAGTATCCTCAGTGGTAGAGGCAGGGGATTTAAGAGAACCCTCAAAAAGGCATTCTGACTGCTGTGGACTTTGTAGAATGGTAGTTAGGGGATTTTCAAAGTGAGCAGACACCCCTAACAAATTCCTCCATCCCCTCTCTGGCCTCTCTCTCACACATATATCCATAAGGATTATTGAGGGACTTATGGATGGAAAGGGTCAGAAGTGACTCAGTCTTCAGCAGGAAAGTCTTGAAAACCCTTGGGCCTAGGGATGAAAAAAATGGTCAGAATGCCAAATGTAAAGAAACTTGAGATTCTTGAGATATACTTCTTCCCACTGACTACAGGTGGACTGAGGCCTACCGGAAGGACCTACTCAGCAGCCGTCTCGACACTACCCACATATTGGCTACAGCCATTGCCAAGGCCACACAGCCTCCCCAGGTCTGGGTCTTGGTCACAGGCACAGGTATATCACAGACCTTATCTCCCTCTCTGAGGAGAATTGGGGAGAGCTGCAGCTTGAGCTCTGCCCCTACCTAGGTAAGACAATGCCAGGAAAAGTAGTATCTTGGCTCCTGAAAGGGGTATGGTTTCTGCCCTACTGCCATCGCTATAGGACTTTAAATATCATTCCTTTCAGCTTCAGAAAGCCATAACCCTTTTCCTGCCCTGTTCTTCCCATCACCATACACATGCAAAACAGGCTCCCCAAAAATAACTTATACTTTACCTGAGGTGGTCCAAAGTCAAAGGAAAACCCCTTGGATTCCCTCAACAGAACCCAGGGAGGTGATATACAAAGGGATAAGCTATAATATCTCTGGTATCCCTTAAGGAAATACCAGAAGAGATCCTAGGGGATCAGGGGAGTGTTACGGAGCCTGTGGGTGTCAATGCAGCTGTAGCCATTGAGAGTGAGAAAAGCAAATGCTTAAGTCACTTGTGAAGGTAGAAGACAAGGACATTCTTTCTCTGACAGCTTATTACCAGCCCAGCCTGACTGCAGAGTATGATGAGGACAGTCCTGGTGGTGATTTTGACTTCTCAAACCTGGTGTCCAGGTGGGAAGCAGCAGCCAAGCTCCCCGGGGATGCCACACGCCAGGTGGTGGTTCGCTCTGGTGAGGGGGCTAGGATGGGTTTGGAACTCCTTAGGACTGGAGTGAAGTAAGTGGGGGAAGCAAGTTAGGAAACGTGAGGATGTGCATTTAAGAAGAAAAAATATGTGTATATATATATATATATATAACATATATAACATCTCAGCTCCAGAGAATTGGACTTTGGGCCAGTCTTTCAGGGCAGAGTGGTGGAAGAGATGGTGGATCTTGAGGCCCCAGAGAGTAAGCGATAACACCCAAATTGCCCAACCACTGGTTCTGGCAAAAGCCTGAGGCAGAATAGAATGAAAGACAAAATAGGAGGGGTACCTAGAAAAAAGAGGGGCAAAAAGTTATCAATCTAAGGGGCAGAATAAGGAAGCAATAGGACTACCCAGGAAGCTGTTAGGCCTGCCCTGTATAATGTTCTGATGTGTACCAGGTGCCGTGCTGGGCCGTGGGGGTGGTGCCATCGGCTCCATGCTGCTGCCCTTCCGCCTAGGCCTTGGTGGGCCTACTGGTTCAGGTCGACAGTTCTTTCCCTGGATCCATATTGAGGACATGTCAGGGATCCTGGTCCATGCTATAGAGAATAACCATGTTAATGGGATCCTGAATGGGGTTTCTCCAGCTTCCTCTACCACCAATGCTGAGTTTGCCAAGGCCTTAGGTGCTGCTCTGGGCCGCCCTGCCTACCTCCCTCTGCCCAGCCCTGCTGTCCAAGCAGTCTTTGGGCGAGAACGTGCTGTTATGCTGCTGGAGGGCCAGAACGTGATACCTCGAAGGACTCTGGCCAGCGGCTATCAATATGTCTTTCCAGAGTTGGAGGCTGCCCTGAAGCAGTGTGTGTCTTGAAAAGGCTTAAAGGGCTATTTCTCTGAAAGGGGCCGTCCTGTTCAGATCTTGATCCTATGTATATAACCAATTCCTTAAAACATTTTCCTGAGGCTCTCAGACTCTGTGTGTATGTATGTGTGTACACAAAACATATATGTATAAGATATTTATAATAAAGTAACATTAGTGACTTCATTTTGCCCCATCCACAATTTTATAAAGTTAAATTTTAATTTAAGTCACAAGATTTCCCCTCTTAACTGTCACCCAACTTAAGGAATGTCACAAAACTACCCCTCTCCCCTCAGAGTCTTCCAGTCCTCTCTACCAATAAGAAACCAGGTGTCTCAATCCTTATAATCCTGTTCTTATTTTTCACTCCCTCCAAATTGTATATTAACTGTGTAAAAACCAATGGTCATTGTGCTTTGCTACCAGGAGCCTTGGACCCAATTTGTTTCTGCAGCTGTATACCCTACTAAATATAAATAAGTCATTTGTCTGAATGAAACTCAGTTTCTTTATTGCACCATAACAATTACAACAGTATATGTGTATGTGCGTGTATGTATAAATGCATTCTGTTGTTTCTTTGCTAAGCAATTTGTCACAAATCACTAATCAGGTTACCTTGGGCCACCACCCTCCAGCCCCTTTCCATGGAACTCCACAGCCTGAGTTCATCTCATCATCTCATTTTTCCCTTAAGCTATATATAGTGCTATAGATACAGAGGATAAAGCCAACTGTTTTAACCAACTTGTGTTTGTTTTCTCTGGACTGGCCACAAGATTCCTTAAATGAGCTGCCAACAGGGGCAGCTAGGTGGCGCAGTGGATAAGAACACCAGCCCTGGAGTCTAGCTCTGTGACCCTGGGGAAGTCACTTAACCCCATTGCCTAGCCAAAAAAAAAAAAAAAAAAAAAAAAAAAGCTGCCAACAGGCCCATTCTTTTGGCATCACTGCACTGGTCCAAGCTCTCCTTACTTTGATTGATCTCAAGAGGACAGAGGCCCTTCCTTGATTTCCCCCTTCCACATAGGGTTCCAGGAGTTATACCACAAAATACTTTCTTGCCCCTTAAATTTTTTCTATTCCTCTTTCCAAATACTAACCAAAAAAACCCTTACCTTTTTTCAGGGATCTTTTGTTTGCCCCAGAAACAATGATGTCACTAATGGGACTACCTCTCCCAGGCAAAGCCCTAAGCCTCCTGGACAGTTAAAGAAAACCCAAACCTGTGACAGTAAAAGTTCATTTGTCAATATACTTCCAGAAGACAATCAAATATCCTCATTTTATAGATGATAAATCTGAAACTTAGGTTAAGTGACTTGTCCAGTCACAAAAAGCAGCTGGAACAAAAACCCAACATACCACAATGCCTAAACTAAAATGAGGCTAGAAAAGAAAGAACTGATATTTACAAATATTGTTTATAACAAGATCCTCTCTGTAGACTGATCATTCAAAGCACCAGGTAGTTATAGCCCAGCCCTTAGCAGGGTAGTGGTAAAGATACCCTTTATTTAGTAAGAATTACAAGAACAATAAAACTTTAAAAAATATATTTATAAATAAAGCACTGAAGCTGCCAAGCTATCTAGACCTTAAATGGGAATGTTAGTTTGTAAGGAGCTCAGGATTTCCCAAACAGGGACAGAGAAACCAAGAGCTGATCCAGGTACTGGTGCAGTATTACATTAATCCAGTTTCCCGGGGTCCTTAGCATCTGAGGTAGAGTCAGTCTGCCTTTGGTGGTTCCAAATAACAGGCAAGCATGCATTCATAAGGCAAGCCTCAACAAAACACATTTAGACATTTTGCAGTTTAAGGAAACTTGTCAACCCAACTGTCTGGTTCAGAAACAAGCCTTAATGACCTTATGAACAGACAAGCATGGCTTGAAATTTTATTTATGGTCTTTCTGCTACCAACCACACTCCAAGTACCAGCCTCCCTCCTCAAATACTAACCAAAATCTCTCTCCCCCCTCCATCCCGGACCTTTTGATAGGCATACAATGATGTCACTAATGTCAGTGCCTATCCCAAGCAAAACCCCCTTCATGGGACAGATTCCAAAGATTGGAGAATTAGAACCCAGTAATCCTATTCCTAGTTACAGCTTCCCAAAAGGTTCCTAAAGCACCCATGCTATCGTGGGTAGGGACTTGGGGGCGTCCCTGAGAAGAATATCTGAGATAAAGAAGCCCAGAAAGGATCTCCAGGGTAGGGATAGGGATATAACATGAACCCGATTCCCAGTCTACCTTTCTATCCTTTCTAGTCCTCTATTCCCCAGTCATTTGATAACCAGCGTTTTTAGGTAAATGGATTATTATCAGGTGACCATCCCTATTGTTTATGCACATACACCACCATTACGCACACATCTCATACATAATACAGGTGTGTTCCTATACATGGATTTTAGTAAGTCAAATGATTACCTGGGATCATTTCAGAGAAGTTTTATTATCATTCAACTGATTGTGGCTTCCCAATATTTCTGCAAGTTTAACCACAGCCACACCGTCAAGTTGTAGTTAATGATCAATAAGCAAACAAATAACCTAAACAAAAGCTGCCTTTTTAATGAACCCTGAAAATATTTTTGTAAACTTAATTATAACACATAAATCCAAATGTAACTATAGGATACATTTGGACGGGGAGTTGTCTAAAAGGGAAACAGCCTAGGACTTCTAACACTAAGAAGCCAATCTAAGATCTGTTTGGGACCCACATGGATACCAAAGAATTTCACCTAAAATGAAATGAACCCTGTGAACTGGCAGATAACCATACCTGGAAATTGGTAGAGTTCCAGGCCCTTTCTCCTCAACAGGTATATTTATTTCCTTCTTATAGATGAAGAAATAGAAGTTTAGGTTGAGCCTAAAGGTAGTTGAGTACCGCTTTGCCAAGGGTACTAGGACCCAGGCCTAGAACCCAAGTGTCCTGATTCCTAGATGAGTGCAGTTTTCACTACCTCCTTGCTGTGTCCACATGTAATCTCTCACATAACACAAAGACTTCCAGGGTTTGGCACAATCTAATACTCCTCCAGTGTCCCTGGGAACCAAGATAGCCATGGAGTGGTCCTAACCTCCTAACCATCTGGATCCAAGCCTGCCAAGGGGAAAAGAGGTCCCTGCTTCCTGCCTCTCTGCTTTGCCCATGGTTCCCCACATCTCACTCTTTAGTCAGAAGCAGGACCCAGCTATCCAGATCACTAGGATGCACCTCACCAGCAACCTCCATTCGCTGAAGGGCTCAGAAGTTCAAACTGAGCAGGGCCTCTGACAGCTGGTTAAGGTCCCTATTAGAGGGGTTCCGCTGTAGGATGAAGTCCACCTTATGGTCCTGTCCCCAAAACACCTCCAGCAGCTTGTGCCGAAGCCGCTCAGTCTCTGTTGCCCTTCGTAAGCCACTCATTCCCTCATCTTCCTCCTTTTGCTCCTGCTGCTTTGGCTGAATTTCAGATTCTGTCAGGCCCCTGGTGTGGGGTCGAGGCTGAGATCGAGGTCGAGGTCGAGGTAGTGGTCGAGGCTGGGCTCCAGATCGAACCTGAGATCGGGCCCTGGAGCTGGGTCGGGAAGGTCGGTTATGGGGAGGCCCTTGGCAACCGGTTGATCGACCTCTTGAAGCCTGCAGCCTGGGAAAGAGGACGGAGACACTAAAGAGTTGAGGGAGAGCAGAGACCATTGCCCAAGTGCCCTCGAAGGAAGAGGAAAAGAAGGACCATAACCATGGAAGTTCTCAGAGCTTAACACTAAAGAGAAAAATCAACCCACTGCTATAGCAGAGTCTGCAAAGATAAAAATCTCTGAAAAGAAGGTCTAGTCCAGAAAAGGCTCACTGAACCTCTAAGTCCTACCATACCCAAATACCCTGATAAAAAAACCCATAATGTTTGTGGGGGCCAAGCAAACTTTGTCTCAGAATTCCCTAGAAGGGTAGTTTGAATGTAAGTCCCTGGCAATTCATCCAAATGCTCAGACAACTGGCACAGAGAGAGGTCACAATGCCACCCAAGCAACCTGGGCTGAAGCTTTCTGTAGTGGAGACTGTATAGGAGGGGACCACAGAGTGGCAAGAGAAAAGGAGCAAAGGAAGGGAAGGTTTGACTGTTTACCTATTTGGTTTCTTGAGGAACTCATCCAGGGTGGGGCCTTCACGCCCCAGTGGGTCATCTGGGACCATGAAGATGTTCCCCACAAAAGTGAAGGGCAACAGACTAGGCCAGAGATAGAAGATATACCATCACTGAAATCATCAAGAACAACCCCCCAAACTTGACAGCCTGCCCCCAAGGGATGCTTCACCAGATACTGGGGATGGTTCTAAGCCTCAACAACTCATCCCACCAGAACTATTAGGAACCATTTTCAGCTCTAGCAGCCCAAACAACTTTACTTTCAACCCTTATCCCCCATGGACAAACCAGAACCGTTTCAGAGGAATGGGAGAAGCCCTGTGCCCCATTCTCCAAAAAAGGCTTCCTCACCGCTCTCTGATGATTTCTGCCCATTTCACAGATTCATCTGACAAGTCTCGGAACTGGTCGTTGGTAACAATGATGCCATCAGTTTCTTCTGCCAGCTTCACCATGAACCTGCCCACATGAGATAAAGAGTAATGGATTTGTTCATTCCTGGAATTTTTAAAATCCCTTCCCCACCCCTCCAATTCAGATCTGGGGAGTCCGCATAGACACCAAAACCTACTCCCATTGATCAAGATTTCTGAGCTTCCTCTCACTTACCCCTTTTATCCCACATTAGCCTATCTACCATCATTCTGATAGAATCCTAATAGAGCTGCCCCCCAGCCCCAATATTCTAACTTCCTTATGGGCCTCACTGAATAGCAGGTGTGTCCTGATTTAACCACACAATCTGGCTTTAACCCTACCACTGACCCCAGACTCAATCACAGGCCCCACTGAATGGTAGGCCCATTGACCCTAGCTAGCCAATGCCCCCAGACTCAATATCCTAACTTTCTAATATAAGCCTCACTAGAACAGCAGGTGTGTCCATGTGATGGAATCCTAGCCACTGCCTCTAGCCAGTCAGTGCCCCCAGACCCATAAACTCATATTTCTCACAGAAAGAGCAGATATTTCCATGCACTCAACCACAACCACATATATCTATCTAATCTCAGACAGGACCACAAGTCAGCCAATCAGAAAACTGCAGCACCAGGATGCCCAAGCAGGATGTGGACCCCAAAACAATAGAAAGGACTTTCCCTAAATACAGTAATAGCAATAGCTGTCCTTTAGGCAAACTTATAATGTAGAGAGGCTTATCATAATATCATTATCATACATATACGTCCCCCCCAAAAGGGTTTTTCTATATGCATTGTGGGTAACCACATGCATAGTTCCACTGAGGCTGGGACCCCTCTCCTATTACCTGATCCCTTGACAAAACCCTCCTGCCTTTTCAATATCCATATATTCTATTATGTATATAAAAATCCTTGTCTTCCTCTGATAAGTTACTGTTTCCTCTTGGAACCCAGCCTACTTCTGAGAGGTATCATTCCCAATAAATGCCTTTGCTTGGACTGGAGATGGTCTGAGTCTGAATCCTTTCAAGATGACCTCCACAACACAACACAAAATCACAACAATTCCAACTATCTAAAGCTTGTGAAATAGGAACCTGGGGACCAGGAAACACCAAAGAGTCAGCACAGAAGACAGACCCAAAGGAATAACCTCACACAACTTTGAGGAGTTATCTTGGGCTCTCCAGACTCAAACTGCTGAAGAGACCTAAGACGACAAACTTAACTCCTGGGCCTTATCTCATCAGATCCAGGGCTGCCTTCCCATCCCCTATACTTTCTGCCATTTTCTTTTCACTCTCTTTTCCTCATCCTGCTCTTGTTTCTTCTCTCCCATTCATTTAGCAGCTATTTATTGATTCTCTTGTACCCTCCCTACTCTGTGCTAGGTAGACCCTATACAAGACAGCATCATCCTGCCCCTGTCCTCTTGAACATCATACTCACACACGAGGCAGAATGAAATAGTGAAAAAAAGAGGAGAGGCAGAAGACCTGAATTCAAGTAACTCTGACATTTACTAGTTGTGTGATACCAGATGTTACATGACTTCTCCGATACCAAGATACTCTTTTATAAAACAGGGATACTTATACTAGTGACTTACAGGATTGTTGTCACATTTATTTACTAATAAAGAACTATTGAGAAATAATGTAGAAATAGTGGAAAGGACTCTAGAAAAAGTTTCAGGTGAGATCTGGGTTTGAATCTCACTAGTTATGTGATTTTGAAGGAGTCAATGAACTTTCCCAAGCCTCCTTTCCTCATCCACAAAATGGAAAGCAAAGGATCATAGATTTAGAGCTGGAAGAAACCTTAGGGCTCATCTTATCCACTTCCCTCATTTTACAAATGAAGACACTGAGGCCCAGAAGGTTAAGTAACTTGCCCAAGGTCACATTGGTAGTAAGTTTCAGAGGTGGGATTCAGACCTTGTTCCTCTGGCTCTTAAATCCACTGCTCCTCCCATTGATAATACTTGGCTCACAGAGAGTAAGAAGTTAAGACCAAAAATGAAAGTTGCATTCAGAATGCGGAAGGTCTTCACTTCTAGGCTAAGGATTCGACAAGGTTTTTGAGCAAGTATCAATGGATTATCAGTGGCCACAAGGAAGGGAATGGAATGGTGAAGACCAGTTAGGAAGTGACTGCAACAATCTAGGCTTGAGGTCATAATAAATGAGGACAGTTGAGATCTCACCTCCTTAGGCAATCTGGGATATCTTCCAATACCAGCTCCTAGGAGCCTTATCATCTGGTCCCAGACTCCCTGCAGACACTGGACTGGCTTAGCCTACTGCAGCTTAGAACTGCCTGGACTCAATGACCTACCAGCTTTATTTCACATGACTTTTTAAATAATTCCTACGGCATTTTGTTTGTACTTCTCATGGAATCGATCACATCCTGCCTGGTGTTATAATTAAATATGTTTCTGGTTTTCCCTGATCAATTTACAAACTCCTTGAGGGCAGGGTCTATATCTTATGAATCAACGTCTACCTCCACAACATCTGGCATCCATCCCCTCTTCTCCACTCACATTGACACCACCCTAATTCACCTCTCCCCTGGACTGTTACAATACCTTCCAAACTGGTCTCCCTTTTCCAATCCATCCTCAGCTACCCTCCATAATCTACTTTTCCAGGATTATTATATGTCATTCCCCTTCATGCACTCCTCAGTCCAGCCAAAAGGTCTTGCTATTCCTCACACTCCACAACTTCCTCTCCCCATGCCTTTGCATAGGCCATCCCCCTGCCTGGCTTGTACTCCCTCCTCACCTCCACCTCTTCAAATTCAAAGCTTAGCTCTACTGCTACCCCTTACAAAAGGTTTTCCCCAATCTCCCCAGCCACTAGCTCTTTGGCTTCAAAATCACCTTGTATTTATTTTGCATATATTTTATATAAAGGTAGCATAGCATAGCAGGTGGAAAGCTGGCCTTAGATTCAGGAAAAACTGGGCCCAATGCCTGTTTCTGAAACACACTGCCTCTAGGACCCTGAGCAAGTTAGATAACCTCTCAGTGCCTCCAAACAACTCTCTAAGAGCACAAATGAAATTAAAGGCCTCCCTGGCTTCAATTACTAGCAGCGTGACCTTGACCAAGTCACTTAACCCTGTTTGCCTCAGTTTCCTCATCTCTAAAATGAGCTGAAGAAGAAAATGACAAAGCACTCCAGTATTTTGGCCAAGAAAACCCCAAATGGGGTGATTGGAGAGTAGGTGGAACAACAACTTAACATCACAAAAATACCAATCAGCAAGGGGAACACCCACAGAGTTTCTGGCCCCAACAGAAAACAATTGCTATTTACATTCATTCTAAGACATCAAAACCTAAACAAGGAAGAGCCTCAGATGCCTGAGCTGGGGGCTATTTTGGCCATTCCATGAAAACCAGAATGATTGGAATTTAAAGGCTTAGTCAAGAAGCTTCATCTGAAACACAATGGGTTTTTTTAAGCCTATTTTTCTACACCACATTTCAAGAAATAAATGAAAATTGCACAGGAGGAAAAGTAAATTGCCCCAGCTTTTTCAAAATAAATAAAATTTTAAAAATTAAAAAAAAATCTAGCCACTAAACCCTGTAGAGTGTACAAAAGAAGATGATTAGGACGGTGAGGGACCTTAAGACTATTGCACTGGGTTGGAGGAACTGGAAACATTTAGCTCAGAAAAGATTAGGAAGGATGTGAAGGTAGATGCAGAAGGAGAGATGAAAGTTGTTCCGCTTGGGGCCCAATATAGAAGATAAAGCAAAGGATGTAAGGAGCAGAGAAGATCATTTTCTAAAAATCAGAACAATTAGGTTCAATGTGAGGAAAGATTCCTATGGCACATCTGCACAGGTACCAAAAAGCAGAGACATCACCTTGCTGATAAAGGTCCGTAGAGTCAAAGCTATGATTTTTCCAATAGCAATGTGTGGCTGTGAGAATTGGACTATAAGGAAATCTGAGTGCCCTGGAACTGACTTTATTGAATGATGGTGCTGGATGATGAGATTAGCTGAAGCCTTTCAGGGGATAACACTTGCATGCTGGAGAAGACTTTTGAGAGTCCCTTCAACAGCAAGGAGATCAAATTAGTCAATACCTAAAGAAATTAATTCAGGCTATTCACTGGAAGGTCAAATATTGCAGCTGATGCTAAAATACTTTGGTCACATAATGAGACGACACAACTCACTGGAAAAGACCCTGATGTCGGGAAAGATTGAAGGCAAAAAAATTTACAAATTTTTTGAAATTAGAAAAAAAAAGATTGAAGGCAACAGGAAAAGGGGGTAGCAGAGGATGAGATGGGTAGATAGTGTCATGGAAGCAATGAACATGCTGGGACAGACTTTGAGAGATAATGAAGGATAGAAGGGCTGGCATGCTACGATCCATGGAATCTAGGGAGTGCAGGGTGAGATTGAACACTGAACAACAACAACTTCTTAACAATTAGTGCCATTTGAAAGTGAAATGAGAAGTTCTGGGAGGTAGTGGGTTCCCCCTCAATAGACAATCTTCTCTACCCCCTCCCTAAAAGAATATTCTTTGCTCAAGTACCAGTGGGAGTGGGATTATAAAGATGATACTGAGTGGTTTGCCATTTCCTTCTCAGCTCTTGTTACAGATGAGGAACTGAGACAAACAGGGTCAAGTGACTTGCCCAAGGCCACACAGCCAGTAAACATCTGAGGTCAGATTTGAACTCAAAAAGATGAGTATTCAGAGCTCCAGCTCCGGCACTCTAACCACAACACCATCTAGCTGCCACGGAGCTTCCTTACCACTATGAAATTCAGTGCTTCTCTCTAGCTAGCTGAACACTTCTATTCACCTAGCCTTGTATGTGTGAATTTAATTAATGAATGAACACAGTCAGAGCAAGTTTCTGACCTCAGAAGAGATCATCAGAGATCTGAGATGGGATCAGAGATGCTTGTGCTCAAGGGGCCTCAAAGAACAGAATCCAGCCCCTACATCCCTGACAGGAGCTAGATTCATCACTTATTGAATTAGAAGGACCTTAGTCTAAGCCTCTCATTTTCCAAATGAGGAAACTGAGCTTTAGAGACTTGGTGGCAGAACACAGATTTGATTCCTACTCCTGTATTCTTTTTGCTATTCCTCCTGTGTTCCGAAAGTACTCCACCTCCAAGAAAGAAAAAAAGTACCCTCCCCAAGAGAAACTGATGGTCCTCCCCTAACCCATGACCACAGGGAAAAATATACTTTCCTGGTATTTTTGCTGAATTTCCAGAGACAGGACAGAGGCAAGCCACACACACACACACACACACACACAGACACACACACACACACACAGACACACACACACACACACACACACAGAATGGAGGGGTGGGGGAGAGAACTGGGACTGGCACAATTATAAGTAAGCTCTGTGTTTTTGCCTTTCTTTGTATCCCCTACACTTAGCCCAGTCCCTGGCACACAACATTTAATAAACTGCATGGTGACTGTCTGAACGGACATGGCAGAAGGGGCACTGCTACCAACTTCCCCCAACTTGGGCTGAGAATAGGTTCTTCTAACCTTCCCTCCTCCATGGTTCCATATGCCCTCCCTTGGTTCCCCTGTCACCAAGGCTGGGGCTGGGGGAGAGTACCTGTCATCATAGGAGGTAATCCTCTTCCCTTCCACAATTCGAGAGGGGGTGACAGAGAGCAGGCTGAGGGACTGTAGTTTAGTCAGGAAATGACGTTCTGTGGGGGAGGGATCCGGATGAGGGTGGGAAGGGATTGAATGACCTGGTTAGTCCCTGGGTAAGGAAGATAGGGAAGATGGGTAAATAGAGTCTGGGGTGAAACTCTGCTTACCTTTCACCTTGGCATCCTTCCTCAGGCGCCACTGAGGCAAAAAGACAGTGATCTCCCGGTGCCCTCGATCCCAGAAATACTGAACAGCTAAGGCTATGCCCCGACAGGAGAAGAAATGCTGCAGGCCATGGCTGAAAAAGCAAATGGTTGGGATTAGATTGTTGTTGAACCTGAGAACAAGATTCTTCATACGTACCTCTATGTCTAAGGCATCCTCCACAAGGCTCAGAGAGGGCAGACAGACCTGTCTGTGGCCCTATCCACTGTTTTGGATATAACAACAATCAACCAGTGAGGTAGAACTAAATCACTGGCCATAGAGTCAAAAGTATAGGATCTAGTCCAACCTCCTCTCTCATTTTATAGAGGAGGAAACTGAGACTGAGGTTAATTGACTTATTCAAGCTCCCACAGGTACAAAGTGGCAGAGCTGGCATCTGAATGCCAAAATCAGGACTCTCCACCTATGCTGACTCTTAGCCTCAAGATGTAACACTGATGCCATCCCTCAGTGTCTTTAGTGAGGCATTATCTTTAGAGATGACCTGAGATCAGTTTATCTGGTAACCAAGACACAGAAAAGATGGCTTTCCCAAAATCACACAGCAAATCAGCCACTCTGCTGCGACTGGAATCAAAGACTTGGATTCAGATCTCAGTCCCTTTCCCAACTAGCCACAAGACTGAAGACAAGTGGCATCACGTCTCTGAGCCCCTGTTTCCATGTCTTCACCTACAAAATGCCGACAATAATCAGCGGTGTGTTGACAAATGTTTAACAACTGGCTCCCTGGAAAAAAGACAAATACCCATAACACATTTACATTTAATCTGCATTGTTAGCATTTTCTGGACTATTTTCTTAAGTCTAGACAATGAACAGAACAATAAATTAAGCCTTTATCTGTAGCATTTGCCAATTTTTGAGTGGTAAATGCTCACACTGAAAAGCTAACAATCTGCTCTAACCTTTCAAGCTGGCTACCAGGACAGCACTGAATAATACTTTCATTACCTAATTCACCATGTTGCTTCAGGTGCTTTGTTGGAACACAAGAGAGCTAAGAACTTGGAATCAAGAAGATCTAAGTTCGAATCCTGCTTCAGACACTTCCTAACTGGATGAGCCTGGACAAGTCATTTAACCACTGTCTGCCTCAGTTTCCTCTACTGTGAAATGGGGTAATTAAATAATATATGCCTCATGGTGGTGTTGTAACAATCAGTAAGATAATATGGGTAAAGCTCTTCACAAACCTTAAAGTATATAAATGCTAGCTATTATTATGCTTACTATTATTATTTTCTTTAAGCCCCCATGCCTCAGGGAGTTTCCTAAGCAGTGCCTTCAGGCTGGAGGTCAGAGGTGTACTCACATCATAGCTATATTGCTGCCATCAATGATAACATGTCGAAGACCTGTTGCACCAGGCACGTTAGTGAGGTTCAAGGAAAACGGGGTCTTCAGGGCCTCCAGAAAGCGCTGGGTTTTGGTCACCTCACAGCTGCCAGCAGTGATGCCACCTAAGCTTCCCTTTAGAGGCTCCTGTCCCTTAAGTCCCACTGACTGCCCATCCCCGGGCTTTGGAGAAAGAAGCCATGTGGGCTGAGCCCCAGGTAGAAGGTTGGGCTCCATTGGTGGAGAGGATTCTCCATTGTTGAGCTGAAGGAGGGGCATCATGGGGCCCCTCCACTGCCAGTCACATACCACTGCCTGAGGAGAATGGCCATAGGAATCAGCTGCAGCCTGGTTCCCCCCCAGGAAGTCAGCCTTGACAGTGTGTGGGCTTGGGAATTGATCTTTGCTCTGGAGCTCTTCTCTTTGAGACATGTTACCTGATAGCTCCTCTCCTTCCAGATACAGTTCTCTGTCCTGGTCCTCCTCCCTATTATGTCCCCTTTTCCCACAATCCCTCTGCCCAAAGTGCCCATCTCTGTCCCAGTCTCTCCCCATAGTCAAGCCATCCTCATTCCAATGTCTCTCCCCAAGGAACCCATCTTTCTCCCAGTCCCTCTTACTAGATGGACAATTTCTTTCCTCAGGGATCCCTTCCCTACCCCAGTTTCTCTGCCTAGGTAATCCCTCTTTGGGACTCCCTGGTCTCTCCAAGTTTCTTTGCCCAGAGAGATTCTGTGTATGTGAGTCCTTTTCCCTGACCAGTTCTCTGATTCTCCTGGAATCCTCCTCTCCCATGGACCACAGTCTTTCCCAGTCTCTCTCTACAGGACACTCTTCCCTAGCACAAACCCCTTCCCTAAGCCCTTCCTGATCAACAGATCTGGTGCCCAATGAGACAATGTCACCCTCCCTGACTTCTCTGCCCTCACTTGGAGTCTTTCTGACAGGGTCCTCCCAACCACCATTCCCAACGAGAACTGGGCTCCTCTCTTGCCTCAGAGGAGGTTCTGGCAGTCCTTTGCCCCTACCTGCCTCTCCTGCCAAGTTTACCAGCCACTCCTGGACAGACACAGGCAAATCCAGGAGAGCCCTGGATTGTTCATCTCCATAGCTCCCAACGAGGGCCTTGAAGGCCTGAGTCACTTGTTCCCTGGCACTCCTGGACTGTGGCCACTGGAGACCACCTTGCCTCAGTCGCCCTAACAGATCTTCCATCCTGCTCTGGGCCATGACAAAGGCTTCAATCAGGCCCCCCAGTAACAGAGAGCCCGGGGCTTGGGGCACCATATGAGCTGAGGTACCCCAACACAGACAGTCCAGGAAGAAACCCCCAGCTCCAAAGAAGACACAGTTCAGGGCTGCAGGATAGCTGACTTCCTCCCACACCTCTGGGTTGCAAAGGCCTTTCAGGTACTCCTGGAGGAATGGAAAGGGAAGGAATGGTTCTTCTAGTTGATGTCTGTTCTTCCCATTTCTCAGTTCTCTTCTCTCTACCCACTCTTCACCCCCCACCAATGCTTCCAGTATTGGGGCTACACACAGAGAGAGAGAAAGCGGACAGGGAAACAAACCAACAAAAGAAAGGGGAGGGGGGGCGGTGATATTTAGGAAGGATAAGGAATCTCAGCTCTCACTCCCCACCCCAACCTCCTCTCCCAGCTTCTGTACGGAAAAGTTGAAATCTGGCAGCCTGAAAGAAATGAAACCAAAATCAAAAGACAACGAGAGAGCCGGGAAATCCCCTGAGTGATGGGCCCTTGACGTTGCCAGAGAGACAGGGAGAGGCAAAGGAAGTGGACAAAGAAGAGCAACAAGCAGAGTCCAGCAAAGCTTCCTGGAAGCTTGAGGAAGGGGAGGTTCTCCAAGAGCAGGAAAGAGGGCCCTCCTACGGCCCTTCTCCCTCCCCCAGCCCGCCACTCCAAGCAGCCTGGGGAAAGGGAGAGGAAGTGTTACCTTGGCTCTGCCTACATTCTCTTGGGGCCCCTCCAGCTGCAACCAGATGTGGGGGCTCCCCGGGCAGGTCTTCTCAAGGACACTCAGCTGCACTCTGAAGATGCGTTCCACTTGAGGCCGCTGTTTAAGCACCACGTCCTCTGCATCCGCCAACACTGTGAAACGGTCCGTGGTCCCAGGAGTGGTCCCCGAGGGGAGCATGGTTGCGAAGCCAGCCCTGATAGTGTAGGAAGAAGACAGGCTCAGACATGGCAGCCCCTCTATCCAAATCCTCTCCGCTACCAGGATCGGATCCGGCTCGCAGCCACAACCTTGACCAGCTCCAACGTCATAACCCAGAACCTGAAGTCCTAAAGGGTTATCGAGCCACGCTCCCACCTATTACTCCGCCCCCTCGGTCCAGCCGTAAGCCCACCTCCCCCAGCCTGCTCCACCCCCCTTCCCCCAGCTGACCCCGGGGACAAGACTCCCAGTTCTCGTCCTTACTGCCCCGTCGTGGGGCTCTAAACCTCTGCTCCTCTATCTCTGGGTTTCTGAGTCCTCCTCTCGTCGATCTCACCTATTACCTCTATCCCTCCCCTGGGGAGAAATGGGAAGGTTGAAAGGCACTTATCCGTCTTGGCAGTGGGCTCCTGTAGTACCTAGATCTTATTCCCAAGGATCTCGGTGTCCTACAGCTTGTGAACCCGAAGCTCCCGCCCTGGAGGTAGAGGAGTAAGAGTAAGCAGGTCTCTAGTTCAATTGGACCCTCTCAGACCACAGGTTCCTGATTCTCTCTCACGTACACAACTGCTTTCCTCCTCACTTCCTGGTCAGGGGAGGAGTTTACCCAGCTCCACCCTGAGGCTGACCTAACCCTAGGGACTTTGGGTCTCCACCCAGGCTTGGGGGGGGGAGGTGGGGAGGGAGTCAAAAGAGGTGGTGGGGAGAGGAAAGGCGGAAGTCGTCCAGAGGCTTGCTCTATCCAGTATCAGGCCCTACCTAAGGAGGGCATCCTCTCCTCCCTGTCCTCCATTCACCTCCCCTCCTTCCACCTTTCACTTCTGACTTCTTCCTGCTCTCCTGCCTTTCTCCCTTCTGTCTCTCTTTCTTTTTTCTTCCTGCCTCTGTTTTCCATAAGTCTCCTTTCTGCCGACCTTCCCTTGTACATTGTTTACTCTATAAATTGGAAATGGCATCCTAGAATCCTAGAATTTTAATATCTGTTGAACTGAATTTTAGAGCTAACAGGGTCCTTAGAGATTGCCTCATCCAATCCTCTTAACTGTGCAAAGACAAAACTGAGCCCTAGGGGTTGTTACTTGGACCGAAGTCAAGTTCTCAAAGTGTAGTTCAGGGACCCTGTGGGGACAGGGGAGGGTGATAAGGGTGAGGACCACAAGGCTAAACTATTTTCATAATAATACTGACATTTTAATTTCTAATACAGTAAATACCCATAGATATACTCCACAGAAACAAAAGCTCTTTGGAGGTCCTTAATCATTTTTAAGAGTTTAAAGGGGTCCCAAGACCAAAAAGCTTGAGAATTCTTGTCATGGGGCTCATTAGTGGCAGAACCTGGCCTAGAACTCATGCCTCACGGTCCCTGGTTCACTTTCCTTTCCAGAACTTTAATCATATGGGAAAAGAGATGGCTACCCCTTTTCACAGCTTCCTTTGATTCTCAGTACAAGAAAAAGATATTAAGGAGAGTGGAAGGACGGGGGAGGGAATAAGGCTGATTAAGGGAGCAAGATAATAAGAATTAATGCCATAATAATATATAGTTATTATCTATATAGTTAAGGTTTGCATAGCACTTTGCATGTTATCTCATTTGTTAAGGATGAAGAGGAGAGAAAAGCAATATTATACTAGCATTAACAGCCATGTATGTAAGGAGTTGGGGACAAAAGGAGCAGCCTCCCCCCCCCCCATACACACTCCTATCTCTCATCAGCTCTAGCTCCTGCCTCACTGGCTCTGAAGACTCTCCCTGGGGTCCTGGCTATGGTCCCTCCTGTCCCTCCGTTCCTTCCTGGGGCCCATTGGCTGTCTGTTGTACACTCTGCCAAAGGGGAGGGATCCATAGCAGAGGAGGCAGTGCGTGGCAGGACACAGAGACACACAGATCCTGTGGGTGCCAGGTAGAGATGGAACAAGAGCTAGAAAGACCAGTTGACAAGGAGACTAGGGTGAAGAAACAAGAGGGGCAGTTAGTATAAGACCAAGGGAGACAAAGAGGAAGAAGAGAGCAGAAAGGAGAAAGACTGTAGGAGGGAGAGAAAGTGAAGGAGGGAGAAAGAAGAGCTATAGAAAGTGAAGTATAGTGGGCTTCATCCTTGCAGCGCAGGGGATAAAAGTGGTCCTGGACACTGGGAAAAACCACCTGAGACTGTGATGTCTTTCCTGACCCTTGTACTGCTGGCCTTCGGATCTGGACAGGCACAGGAAGGGACAGAGCCTGTCCTGTTGGAAGGAGAGTGCCTTGTTGTATGTGAACCTGGCCGGGCAACCGCAGGAGGTCCAGGTGGGGCAGCCCTGGGAGAGGCTCCCCCAGGGCGGGTGGCCTTTGCTGCTGTCCGTAGCCACCATCATGAACCAGCTGGAGAAACAGGCAATGGTACCAGTGGCGCCATCTACTTTGACCAGGTAACATTCCTCCCCCACCACACCCGTCCTACCTGCTGAACCCTGAGTGGAGAGGAAAACTGCCTTCTATTCTGAGTCCCACCCAGTCTTCTATGTTCCCAGAGTTCATCTCTTCTCTCTTCAAGAAAACCAGCCCCATAGTTTTTCTCCCACTTTTGCCATTTCCTACACTTTTCTCCCCTTCCCCCAAGTACCCTCATTCAAGAGTCCTCCTTACTCCTCCTTACCCCATTCATCTACTCCTTCCCCCTACTCTACCTTTTCCTTTCTCTACTCACCAGAAACTCCTCCTTCTCACCCCTCCCATATTATTTTTTCCTACCCCTCTCTCCCTCTGCCTAGGTCCTGGTAAATGAAGGCAATGGCTTTGACAGGGCCTCAGGCTCCTTTATTGCCCCTGTCCGTGGTGTCTACAGTTTCCGGTTCCATGTGGTGAAGGTATACAACCGCCAGACAGTTCAGGTGAGCCCAGAGCCCTGCTTCTCTCAAAGCTCAAGAAGAGAAAGAGATAGGCAAAGACAGGATATCCCCAACCCCATCCCTGACTCATGCTGTGTTTCTCACTTCAGTTCTAACCTTCTGTTTAGTCACCCACCCCCACTTTAAGACAGTGGCCACAGGATTCCACAGTACTCTGGATCACCTCGAGTTGGTAACCAGCCTGTGGCCAATGAGTGACTGGAGATCCTGGCAAAGTCCAAAGGTCCACTTCTTTTTTTTTTCAGCCAAAGACAAGGTTCATTAAAGATTCACCATATTGGCCAGATTCTTAAGGAATCTGAGCACCTGTGAGCTAGTGGCCAGATTGTAAAAATCTCAGCAGTGGCTAGATTATAAAAATCAATTAATGGAGACAAGATAGACCTTATATACAGAAAGACTATGGGAGGTATCTAGGAGTGGCCAAATAGTCTATGAGGTAATAAAATTCCAGGGAAATAGAGCCCAGGCAGGATTAAGGGTGGAAAGTGGCCTGGGGCCATAGGGAGACAAGAAAATGGAGGGCCAGGCTAGGTCAAGGATTACAGAATTGGAGGTTTGGGTGTAGCCTATAGAAAGGCCAATTGACCAATCGTGGCCTCAGGGGAATGCCAGAGATCTCCTTGATCAAGTGGGAGAATTCAAGGGCAATCCAAGGGTTTTCTAGGGCCCATAGACAAATGGGGCCCAAATTGGGACACAGGTCTCACTTTGGGCCCATACCTCATCATTCCCTCCTCAAACAAATGGGACCCAAATTCTTTTGGGGTAAAGGGCGACGGTCTCGGCTTCTGAAACTGCTTCCTGCTGACAAGGAGCGTAGAGCTGTCCCTGCCTCGGTCCCATTTCATTTAAGGGGTCAGACTTCAGAGTACGGCTGACCCACGGCCATATCCAGTGGGCTAGAGACCAAAGGTCCACTTCTAAAGGCTGAATGGTGGTGGTAGGCCGGGTCAAGGGAGATGGAGTATACTTAGCCTTCCTGGCCCAGGGAATTTGGAACCCCTGGCATAGGAAGCTTTAGGGTCATAGAATCCTAAGATCATAGACATAGAGCCTAGTCAACCCTTGCTCTCAGGAAGGAAAAGAAGGAAAGAAGCATTTTTTAACTGCCTGCTATATGCTAGGCACTGTACTAAGTTACAACAACCCTAAAAAGTAGGTACTACTATTACTTCATTTTACAGTTGAGGAAGCTGAGTCAGACAGAAGTGTCTTACCCAGAGTCACATAGCTAGTAAGTGTCTGAGGCTAGATTTGAAATCAGGTCTCCCTGAGGCTAGGCCCAGCCCTGTATCCACTGAATCACTTAGCTGCCTCAGAAATGATCAATGATCTCATTGAAAGAATGGCCATACTATAAACCAAAGATCTCTTAGGCTATCGGGGAAGGTGGGGGGTCCCAGGATAAAGGGCCTAATACCCCAAATTCTCCCATCCCCAGGTAAGCCTGATGCTGAATACATGGCCTGTGATCTCAGCTTTTGCCAATGACCCTGATGTGACTCGAGAGGCGGCCACTAGTGCTGTGCTCTTACCCCTGGACCCTGGGGACCGAGTATCCCTGCGTCTGCGCCGAGGGAACTTGCTTGGTGGCTGGAAGTTCTCTAGCTTCTCTGGCTTTCTGATCTTTCCTCTCTGAGGGAAAGTACCCTTCTCTCCTCTTGCTAGCCCCACTACTACCCACCTCTTACCCTGACTTCTTTCACTTCCTTTCACCTTCCTCTTGGAATGCAGGAATGTCAAGGGACTTTCTTCAAGGGGGAGGGACTTTAATCAGCTGTGGGTCTCTAATTTTCGTTCATTTCAACACCAGCAGTAGTATCCCTGGAGCAGGGAGTATGACCATATATTCTTCACCCCCAAATCATAAGGCAAATATGGCCTGAGAATAGCTAATCTTTTAGATAACTGCTGTTAAAAGAACGCTTTCTTTTTCCAAAAATTGTCATCATACTAAAAATCCAGGATATATAGCTGACATATTCAAATCCTATTCTTCTGCATGGGCATAAGTGCCAAACCCTCCATAATAAATAAATGAGTTGAATGCATGTGTAAAGCCAGTTTTGTCATCAGTATATCCCTCCAATTTCAGCCTAACCTACCTCTCTCTCCCAACCATAATGCCCCATTTTGCCCTGTATTTCTCTCTCTTCCAGTTTCCATAACCCAGGACATGCTATTGGCATAGGTAAAGAAACTGCTACTAATTCCCTATCTCTACTGCCCTCCCCAAAACACATTATCTCCCAGCTATATTTTGGGACAGGTGGCACAAACTGGGCTGACAGGAACCCCACAGAAACCCAGATGGTACCAGCCCCAGAGTGCATGAAAACTGTTTCCTGTAGAGAGAGCCAGCTCCTCAGTGCTGTCCAACTGCTACTTGGTATTTGGTATGGCCAGGGGGTTAGTCATGGTGGAGGGAGGGAAAACAAACTGAAGTGAGAGAAGACCCCAGGTGGGAAGTCAGGCCCAGGTATCAGAATGGAGCAGTCCCATGCCAAGGACCCCAGAGATCTTCCTCAATAATAATAGCTAGCATTGATATGATGACACTTTTAGGTTTGCAAAGCACTGTACATATATTATCTCATTTGATCCTACCAACTATGCTGTGAAATAGGTGCTGTTATCCTCATTTTAAAACCAATGAGGAAACTGAGAATGAGACAGATTAAGCCAGAGGTGGGGACCCTGTGGCCTCCAGGCCACAGGTGGCC